AGTATTATTGTGAGATGATCGAAGAATCGAATGGKGACTCTGGTAAAATCTGGAAAGCAGTAAACGAAGCTTGTAATCGTAAATCAACATCGGATTCTATTCAATGTATAATTACTGATAATATTCAGCACATAACGCCTAGTTCTATTGCGACTGCTATGAACTGCTTTTTTGCTTCCATTGGTCAACGCCTGGCTGACAAGTTCACAACATGCAAATCAAATCAGAGCTCTGTCTTAAATCAACCTACGTCCCAATTCCAACTGATTGAACTAGTAGACGAATCCTTTGTGCTCGAGCAGCTTTTATCTCTGAAAGTAAACAAAGCTATTGGGCTGGATAAAATCAGTGCTAGATTGCTAAAGAACTCTGCTCGCACAATCGCTCCTTCTATTACCAACATGTTAAACTTATCGATTCGCTCTGGTAAATTCCYGAAGCTGTGGAAGTGTTCGAAAATTACTGCATTGTTTAAGTCAGGCGAACGAACAAATACATCCAACTACAGACCAATTTCTATTTTACCTACACTTAGTAAGATTTTGGAAAGAGCAATACACTCACAGTTGTATCAGTTTTTGGTCTCAAATGGTCTACTCTCAAGAAAGCAGTTTGGTTTCAGAAAGGGTCTATCTAYGGTATCTGCGTTGACATCTTTTGTTGACGAGGTTCTGTTGAATATGGAACAGGGTAAACTGTGCGGGGCCGTGTTTATCGATCTAACAAAGGCCTTTGACACGGTGGACCATGAAATCATGTTGAAGAAATTAGCTGAGATCGGTTTATCTGGAAACCCCCTGGCATGGTTCCGTTCTTATTTGGCCAACAGAACACAGCGCACATGTTGTGGTAATGCATTATCCGAGGAACTTCCAGTCACTCACGGGGTGCCTCAAGGAAGCATCTTGGGCCCGTTGTTGTTTGTYATCTACATAAACAGCTTGCCCGACGTGTTGGTGTCCTGCTGTGCCTCTCTTTATGCGGATGATACTGTGATCTACTGTTATGGTTCTACCTCTAAGGAGTTGAGCGATAGGTTAAATCAAGATCTTTTGGCCGTTGCTAAATGGATGAACGATCAAAAACTAACACTAAACTTTGAAAAAACGAAATGTATGCTCATAGGCAGTAATAGGAAATTAGAGAGTAAAATCAAACTTACTATATCGATTTCAAATTACAATGTATCTAATGTGAGTAAATTTAAATATCTTGGAGTTTTCATATCTTCTGACCTGACATGGTCAGACCAGGTTGAATATTTGTCTAGGAAAATCAACCAAAGGCTYGSCCTTCTTAAGCGTATTAAGCATTTATTGCCTTTCAGAGCTRGGCTTCTTTATTATAATAGCCTAATCATGCCCCTGTTCGATTATGCAGATTTAGTTTGGGGCGATAAGCATAATGTTACGATCATGTCAAATTTATAAATTCTCCAGAACAAGGCTGCGAAAATAATACTTGATAGACCACTATACTCATCAGCAACCGACGCTTTAGCTAAACTCAAGTGGTTACCTTTAGAAAAGAGGCGTTTTCTCAGATGATGCGTTTATGTATTTAAATGTCTAAATGGACTTGTAGATCACAAAATGGACTTGATCAAACAAGAAGATCAACATAATTACAACACTAGAAGCAAATGCAATCTCAAACTCCCTAGAGTGAAAAGGAACTGGGGAAAGCAACGAACTCAATATCACGCAGTAAATGACTTTAACTCACTCAGCCAGGACATCAAGACAATCACAAATATTTGTACTTTTAAACGTAGAATTTTCAAATTTTTAAACTAGGATTTAGCATAAATTTCTTTGACTTTTTGTATTTTTTTTTTAATCTAGATTTTTTTCTTTATTTCTATATCATATATATATGCATTTTAATTCATAGCTTATTATTATTATTATTAATATTATAGTCGAGGTCCTTTTTGAAAATCATTTTTAATGAAAAAGTATCCTCAATAAAGATTATTTATTATTATTAAGGGATAGATTGGACCACACTTTGAAATGCCAGTTGCTGTTTTTCATGGTATACAATTAATTACCTACCAAATTGTACAGTTTTCCAATGCCTGTTGGTAAGCCTTCAAAGTTGATRTTGTTCCCTAAAAATACATTTTAAATTTAGTGATAATGATAATTGAATCAATACTTACAACTTAATGTGTTTTTGTTATCATTGTTTTGGTTACTTGGGCTGTTGGGCTGTTTTTGTTGTTACAACGTTTTGCAAGTTCTGATATTCAAACCATATATTGGAGGTTCTCTTTTTTTGAATAGTGAAGGCTAKGGATCGCTGATCGTTAAATAATCAAACAAAAYATTTKCTTGATTGAGGTGTATTGACTGCAGGTATCAATTTGACGCTGGATGRCATGTAATAGGAATGATTTCAACCACATTAAAATAAAGCCCTGAACTTACCATTGAGAAAAAGCCTTTTCAGTTTTACGCATTTACATAATGACGACTGATAAAAGAACATGAAGTGAATTAATCAAACAACAACATGAATTAAAATTGATAATAACAATAAAGACATGGCTGTCAACTGCTGTAATCCACTTTAAGTTTTTTCAGCTTCAATAAAGATGATCCTCAACTGAATAATTAATTTAATRTTAATATTGCTTACTGGAATAGCAGTTAGCTGATTTCTGGACAAGTTCAAAGTCTCCAGCTGTGTCCAGGAATCTGTAGAACAAAACAATGAGAAATATTCATTTAAATTTCTATTATTAAGTGAATATACAGCTATGTTAGATGTTGAATACTGACTATTCAGTATACTAAACAGTACAYTCCAAGACCACAATGTATTGTTGCTTTTTAACTCTTTTGCTAGCTGTGTAACAAATTGATAACTCTTTCCAATKATTAAGTTTTTGACTGTATGGAGCTGGCATGGTATAGTCACCTTGAAGCCATGAAAACTCATTTTCAACAGCAATATGATGACAATGTATTTCAGTCTTGGGATACACTATCTTCAGTATTCAACATTTTCTGAAATAGCTGTATATATGACCACTGTCAGTTATAGTTGAGAATAAATCAAGTCATTTACCTATTAATGATGATAGTTCTGTGATGGAATTGTGACTTAAATTCAATCTYCTCAAACTGGTTATCATATAAACAGGCTCTGGTACTGTGATAAAAAAAAACACTTTTAATTTTTAATCTATTCAAAATTATTTCTAAAGTTAAATATTTTCTACATTTGCAATATTGCACGTGTAAGTTCTAGATTTCTGTTGTGGTTGTTTTTTAACCAAAAATATTTAACTATGAGTCTGACTTGTTTTTCTTCTTGCCTAACATAGGCTGATGAGTCTGYCTTGTAAGTTGATTTTTGTCTATATGGTTTATATTCTATGTTACATTGTACARGTTATGCAATCTACTATACAACAATATACATTTACATACTCATGTGTCAATGACATAATAAGCTGGGATTACCTCTTGGTAGGTCATTGTGTGACAAGTCAAGATCTGGTTAAAAAACAGCAATCATTGTATAATATTAGTCAATCATAATCTAACMCAATCCATGAAGAATCCTTGGCTAGTCAACCTTTGCACAGTGATCATAGCATGATGAAGCTACATTCACTAGTATATGTCTTGACCCTATGTCTATTCATAATTGAATCATGTCAAGATCAATGTACAAATCAGGAACATCAGATAGATCTATATATACTAATAGGAAAGTACCAAGTGCTTTGAAATTCCTATAGGGATGTAATGTCATGGGCCAATTGTATCGAAAATGGATAAATTTAATTCACTGGATCAAGTTATATCTGTTCCTTAGCTTTGATAGGATTATTATTCAACCTTGTTCAACTAACCCGTTCATAGCAACTACTGGGCTGACAGCCCATATTATATTACCTGYAAGATTAACTAAGGCTTCCAGCTTATTGGGCATGTTGGTGATTGCTCTCTGTAATAAATAATTAAYAACMATCAATAGAAATCAAATTAGTTAATGTAAAAGTTACAAGAACSACCACAAAGTATCKGCATTACCTGTGTGTTTCTAAGGTTCAGTGTTCTTAGTTGTGTCAGGGATGGTAGCTGCCTGTGGATTAAGTATCTTTTATAAGTGAAAAGATTTTAAGTCTTTTTGTACAATGTCTAATGTGAGAGGTATTGCGACCTGACAATAATATCTGAAATATGCACATGATATTCAACAGTATTGTAGGCCACACATGAACTAATGGTATTTTCAGGTAAAAATATAGGGAGCTTAAGAACACTGATTCCCCTGAGATAACCTGGGATATTTCTTGATATCACTCTCACAACTCAGAAATCACCCATTCTTATATTTGCATGATGCCATCTGTTTATTTGATATACTTTACCTAAGCTGTGCATGCAGCAAGGGATTATTGTTTAAAATCTGAAAGAAAAATACAAAGAAATTATCTATAGCCATTCATATTGAGAGTATATTAAACAGTATGATGCATATTATATTGAAGAAAATTGAGAATTGAATAAAACGTCAGACAATTACTGAAAATAAAACAGGAGTTATCTGTGAGGATGGTACTTAGTGTTTTGATAACATAGTCTCCATGACAACCAAATTGTAAACATAACCTATGACATAACAAACTATGTCTTGGAATTTCTATGTTGTGATTTTTTTCTCCATTTAATTGTTCCTTAGGACTTAAAACAATTAAAACAATATTAAAACAACATTTGAGYGTGCATTTTAATGTCATAGTATTACACTGACTGACAAAACCCAAATAGTAGTTTAAGGTTTCTAAAACAACACACACAAACAACAAAGGATATCCTWAACAAAAACCTGTGTGAACCAAATAAGAAGCTAAAACCCAATGGAAAAAAGACATGACAACTAACCAAAGTCTGAAGATGAACAAGCCTTCGAAGTTGAGGAGGAATTGTTTCTGAAAAACAGAAGACCTCACTTAGATCCAGAAACTATATACAAATATGCTGCAACAAGATTAGTTTCAACGAGGCTTCTTTTTCAATCAATGATTATCATATTTTGTTGTTTATGCTTATCTTTAATTTCTTTGAGCAACAATAAWTGAGAAAAGTAATTATATCTAATAAATATAGTGAAAATTTAAACACAATTTAGTAAAATATGTGGTATCACCTACCAAGCTGGTTATCACTCAAATCAAGATATATCAAATCTGTAAGATTGATGAACAGCTGGACAAAACATAATATTATCATCAGTACTGGTATATCATTGTTAGATAGAGAAAATGACTAAACCATCATTTAAATCATGCTAACCTGGTTGGGTATGCAAGTAATTCTGAAAGAATCAGAAAAAGAAAATGTTTACAATAGATTAAATTGACCACCAGTAATTTATGATTAATATAATCATGCTGCATTGTTATATTTTATAACTTACTTGTTATTGGACAACGAGAGAACAAGCAGTGCTTTGGCATTTTCAAGTTCTTGTGGGACCTTAACAAAGTTATTTATGCTTGTTATTCATGTTTTGTTTTATTCATACTTAGCAGTATGCAACTGTACTACATGCAGAAATATGCTGACATTTAAAGAAAACCTATTGTAGCACAAACTGYCAATTTTCAAATGTTTTCAGATATAAATTCAAATTAGATTATCACTTGAAATTCTCCATCAGCAACAAGGCATATCATTAAAGAAATACTAAAAATTAATTAAATAATATTGTTTTCTTCATTAAGCAGCATGTTAGATGAAAATAGATTTTCTAAAATTGGTCAAGTGCACTTCAAGTTCATTCTCTAGAAACACTCAACCAAAACAAGACAAAGTTGTATAAAAAAATTATTTGATTAATAAAAAAGTAGGTGAAAAGTAGGTCATCGGAGGATTAATGTCCTAAACGTCAGTAAGTTGTTTCACCTACTTTTTTTATGTTTTTTTTTATTTATCTTTTTACACAATTGTTTCTTTTGAAACACTGACGCAGCTCACACTTAAGTTTACTGCTAGTTTTCGTTAAAAAAAGACAGAGATTATTTTTTGTTTTGATAGCAAAGAACTTCTCGTTGCAGCTTTTTTACCTCTTTAAGATCGTTGTGGCTAAAATCCTGAAATTAAAAAAAATATCAAATCAAGGAAAACCTACTTTATAATTCCATCTAGTATCAATAATTAAAACTCTTGTCATGATTGAGCTTACCACAGTTAAAAGATCATCCAATGAAAAGATATCCCCAGGTATCCCAGAGTTCATTAATTGGTTCTTCCTGGCATTTATAACCTGACATAGACACAGTTTGTATTAGAAACTTACTGCTAGTACATCAGGTAAATAACAACTTACTGGCAATTTTTTAATATTGTTTAAAAAAAATCAAAGTTTCTGTTTTCAGGACAAACAAAACTAACAGTATAAAACTTCAATGCAAGCTGTTTAATGTAAAAATATTCTAGATCTATAGTTGATCAGTGTGACCATAAATGAACAATCCCTGAAAACTAACAATAACATGATTTAGGGTCCAACAAATAATGTTATCCTTYACGAGTTTGTAAGRTTTCTTGTRATTGGAGGAATAAAACAATGCTCATTGTTTCCTCACTCATAAATCCTGTTGTTTTCTTTTATTTAGCAAATAGCTAGTAAACCAATTGGATAAGATCTTGCAAAACCGWGAAGGGCTACCCATAAAGACACCCCAGTAATAGTTTAAAAACACTGAATAGATTTTGTACAGATTCAACAGGTTGGATTCACCATCAAGGGCATTACTGGTTGCTTGTTTGTTATCAGTGTGGTATGTAAGGTGTCCTAGGAATATTGTCTGCTAGGCACTGCACATACCATTATAGAATTTAGGTACAGTCCTCTTTCTAATTTATTTTCGAATTTCTTACATTATGSATCTGCGTATGGCCTTGGGATGTATCTGTAGGGGTATTTTATTAGTTCCCAGACTGTTTAACTCATGTTATACATGTATGTCAGAGCACAAGCCATACAAGAGATTTTCTACAAAGTATTAAGCTTAATTTTATAGCAGCTCGATGTCAACTTACCCGTAAATGATTTAAAGATGACAGCTCTCCGTGTATGCATGTTAGGTCGTTTTCTTTTATGGAGAGATGTTCCTGTAAGAAATCCAGACAAATCAAATTGTTGGCGCTATGAAAACCTTTCCGTTATTGTTGAAAACACTTRACATGTCAAATCCATCAACTACGCAAGCCATAAGTATATTATGGACTTCGATAGCTTGTTTCTGTTCGTGTTTCATAACCTCCTTTGACTAATATATAGTAATATGGATAGTATAAGTTAATATACACACCAGCTTTTTAAGTCTTGACAGTTCTTCTGGTAACGTTTCAAGCCCAACCTTGTTCAATTTCAACCACCTCAAGTTTGTCATGTCTGCTACGCGATGCGGAAAACTGCATTCCTAGGTGCAAATGTAAAAATATGAGCATTAACTGTACAACTTTAACAAGATTCTTAGCTAGTGATTCAAAGTCTTACTTTGAAGTCATTGTGGGTAAGGTCTAGTCCACGGACGAAGGGAAGAAGTCCTTCCGCCATTTTGATTATTTGRGCTTGTTGTTCGCCTCGCTCTGATGCACAGACGTACAATAAGGTGTGGGCTTCCTGTGCTGATCGATTTTCTCCACATCAGTACATGATCTTCATACAAATCTTGATTACATGTCAATTTTTGAGATGACATTTTTTTCCACAAATGTATTGCTGTGAAATGCAGCAACATTTTGCACAAAAGTCTCCTTCGCATCTCCCCGTGTCATCTTTAAGGGTAGCTGTACCTTCTCATCAAACAGAGGTGGACCATTGAGCGTGCAATGATACTCTGATACCTGTGAATAATTGTATGTTTAAGGTGTGAAACTAACGTATGGTATATGTATCATTGCATGCACAATCCTCTCCCTTTCTGATGCAAAGGCACGCCTTTCAAGTGACATGGGAAGAGTGAAGGAGACTATTTTCGAGACGTATGTCCTTAGAACATGAGCAGTCCACAACTTGACTCCCAGCTTATTATTAATTCAGCGAAAAAGATAACAAGCTGTTTGAGAAATGTACAGTGTAACAGCTGATAAAATTGCACAGTGCAACAGCATAATTTAGTTGTTTCTTTTTTATTTTACTTTATTTTCTATAGACAACATTTCATGTAAATAAAATAGTTTTAATTCACTGATTACATTAAATGCTTTTATGGGTTTCCTGTGCTTGTCAGACTTTTACCCCTGGTATAGGTACTATAACTTCTGCAAAATGATTGTTCACATGCATACACCTGGTTCAAATATTCCCTATACTTTAGTCAAGGTCTGCCTCCTTCTTCAAATATAAACAAAAATGCATCAGCCAGGGTTAACGTTTTCCTTTAAAGTACACCTCAAGATATCAAGATTGTTCAGAGAAATAACACATTGACTGGTGAGAACTGGCTCTGATTGCCACAAAGGTTTAGCATCTCYTACTAACAATAGCCAAGTTTTGATATTTTGAATGACTGACCACATACAAAAGAATTGAAGACAGCACTCCAAGATATGATAGATAATAATAGGTAATTCCTAAGACGTGCAAGTGGCTACTCAACCAGAATATCGAAAGTAGGCCATTTCTCCAATTAGTTTCATTATCAACCACAAACTGACAATGGTAATATTGTATTTCAACATCAYTGTAAATTGCACTGACGCTTAATGGTGAAGTTTGTGAACTTCAGGAATTAAGTGCAATATTTCAAAATGTGATTGACATCTTCAAGAATGAGTTTTGATATCRCAGACAGTAATGACTTTGTTCAAAAGACATCACAGACCAGAGAGCTKCAAGAAATTCCAYTTTCACCAGTTCACTGGTCAAGCRATGATTGGYTTGAGTTCTCATTTTTTCMAGTTCTCTTTCCATTCTYTACCAGCCTCTTTCAGATAGSTTTCCTGAACATCAACAGAATGTTTGTATTAGGGACAATAAAACAAATAATCTTTATCTTTGGTGGTTGAATTATATCTATTTAGTCATGCTTTTAGGAGTGAAAATGAAAGATTTCATGTGATTTCTCATCAAAATCAGAATTCCTGACTTTCTCTATTATAGGGGTTAACAGATATCTTTCAGAAAAATATAGCATCCTCTGCAGACGTTATTAGTATCGGTCATAAGTTCCCTCAACCTATGACCAAATTACTAACAACGTCTGCAAAGGAGGCTAGAAAAAATATGGATCACATCAAGTAGTAATTAATATTGCATACTTTATAAAGAATCATATTCGGCAATCATTTTACCCTCAATGCAATGAAAGCTGCTCCCGTTGAGCTGTTCCCTTTTTTTCTTAGACCTTCCTGGATTCTCTCCACCTCCTAAAAACAAACATGCAAAACATTTTGCACAATTAGGTGGCATTGAGTGGTAAGATTCAAGCCCCATGTAAACTCCATGAGCTCCCACACATCATAACAATGATACTTGGGATTTAAAAATTCAGACCCTCCCCTATTAGATGCAGAGATTTGCACTTTTCAAAATACCATTTTATGCCTGTAGTACCTTATCCCCTCTAGTAAGAAAAGTATACCATCAAATTTTGTGAACGTTTTCATCAACTTGAAAATGACACATTTCATGTCTTATCTGGAAGCATGAAGGAATTTTCAGCAAATTAAAAACCAAAGTAGGAGGAGCAAGGATACATAAATACTACATTGCTGTTCAT